ATTTTTTTGTTTTTTTTTTTTTTTTTTTTTTTTTTTTTTTTTTTTTTTTTTTTTTTTTTTGCATAAGCCTCTCGGGGAGCTCCATAAATTAATCTGAGGAAAAAAGGAAATCAAAATAAAAGGAGACAACCAAGCCTTATGATCTTTGTGAAGTAAAAGTTTTGAATGTTTATATGTTGTAAAAAATAAAATAAAAAAGGGTTGTTTTATATGTTATTACTGCCACAATAAAGATCCCCAATGACCATGATCACTAGTGTGGGATATTTTTGATCATTTTACACTGAAAATTCTTATAATTTAGTTTAACTCTGAGCATTGTCTCCCTCCTGTGCTAAGAGGTAGACACTGCATTGAGTGTTTAAGTGATATTTGAGCAAGCAGCAGATTTATTTGATCTCAAAAGTTTATGTTCAGAACAAGACAATCCTATTCATAAACAATTTGTTTTTATGAAATATGAAACCTTTTAGTCTATAGTAACCTGGAGTAAATTCAAGCTTTACCTCTGAAAGAGAAAGGGAAGAAATGTTCTGTGTTGGAATGGTTTGATTTTAAACTAGATAAAATAAACAAAACCAGATACTTGCACATTTATAGAGAGGTTAAATAATAACTCTAAAGCAAGCAGATTATCAATGAAAAGACTTTAATGTATTCTCATGCTTAAAAGTGATTTAAAGCATTTTAAATATAACAGTCAGACCTTTAAAAGAGTAAATGCAAAAGATGAGTTTGCTTTAATGGATATTGCAAATATAACTCGAAATTTTATCATTCCTAAAGTTGTTTGTCAAACTGAAATGTCAAATTTTAGAAAATTCCTAGAGCCAAAAAAACAACAACATGATGTCTTAATAGCATCACAAAATTGACAAGATCATCTAACAAAACTTTAAAATGAACTCATAATGAATCTTGTTTATAACCAATATCTCCCACCGATGTGGTTAAAAGACAAAATATCGTTGATGAGGAGGAATGAGGGAAAGAAAAGGAGACCTGACAAAGCCCCAATTTCATGAACTTCTAACAAATGAAAAATCCAAAAACAAGAACCCCCACCAATATATATATATATATCCATCCATTTTCTTCCGCATGTCCGGGGTCGGGTCGCGGGGGCAGCAGCTTCAGAAGGGAGGCCCAGACCTCCCTCTCCCCAGCCACTTCTTCCAGCTCCTCCGGGGSAACDCCAAGGRGTTCCCAGGCCAGRCGAGAGACATAGTCCCTCCAGCGTGTCCTGGGTCTTCCTCGGGGCCTCCTCCCGGTGGGACGTGCCCGGAATAKCTCACCAGGGAGGCGTCCAGGAGGCATCCTTACCAGATGCCCGAGCCACCTCAACTGGCTCCTCTCGACGTGGAGGAGCAGCGGCTCTACTCTGAGTCCCTCCCGGATGACCGAGCTTCTCACCCTATCTCTAAGGGAGAGCCCAGCCACCCTGCGGAGGAAACCCATTTCGGCCGCTTGTATCCGGGACCTCGTTCTTTCGGTCATGACCCAAAGCTCATGACCATAGATGAGGGTAGGAATGTAGATCGACCGGTAAATCGAGAGCTTCGCTTTCTGACTCAGCTCTCTCTTCACCACGACGGACCGGTACAGCGCCCGCTTTACAGCAGACGCTGCGCCAATCCGCCTGTCGATCTCCCGCTCCCTTCTTCCCCCATTCGTGAACAAGATCCCCAGATACTTAAACTCCTCCACTTGAGGCAGGACGACCCCCCTGACCCGGAGAAGGCACTCTGCCTTTTTCCGGCTCAAGACCATGGCCTCAGATTTGGAGGCACTGAGCCTCATCCTAGCCGCTTCGCACTCGGCCGCGAACCGCTCCAGCGAGAGCTGCAGGTCACGTTCCGATGAAGCCAACAGGACCACATCATCCGCAAAAAGCAGAGATGCGATCCTAAGGCCACCAAAACGGATCCACTCAACTCCTCGGCTGCGCCTAGAAATTCTGTCCATGAAAGTAATGAACAGAATCGGTGACAAAGGGCAGCCTTGGCGGAGTCCAACTCTCACTGGAAAGTAAAGTCTTTTACTGGGGCTGCTGGAAGCTGCTGGAAATTGTGTTAAGCATCGACCAGAGGCGAAGCCTTCATCTTCTCTTTGACTCAGCGAGCATCAAAAACTGAGGCAGGAAACTGGGTCAATGCTTTACCATTAGTGACAGTGAGGTAGTGGGTTCCTGAGAGGAACAAGAGAATCTGGTAAAAGCCATGTCAACAAATCATCAAAGTAATGAAATAAATAATTATGAACCTCTCTCCTAATTGGATCTTTTTTTTTTTTTTGCTTCTAGGAGAAAGATGTAGAAACAAAATCTGTGCACAAAACCTCCAAACATACTCCAGTGCAGAACAAACAAAACTAAATGTGCTTCTCAAAGGTACCCGGCTGACACATGAGACAGCAGGATGAATCACTGACATCAGATTCTGCTATAAACTGAATCAAAGAATCCACAGTACCTCCCAGAAAAGCTGCACAGTGGAGTACAACTAGAAGCTCAAAGAAATGAGCTTCCTGACATGTTTTATAAAATGACTGCAGCTCAAAGGCAAAAATGTAAGAACAAAAAATAGAAACAGAAACAAGTAGAAAATGGACAAACAGATTTAAAAAAGTATGCAAAAAAGTAGAAATCAAGGTCACACATTAAAAAACACAAACCACAGAAAACGGGTAAAACAAAAAACTAAAATCTAGATTCATGTTTGAAATTTAATTTATCTCTAAATGCGCAGAACTCGCTACGAGTGGATAACTTTCACCTTCCCAGACAAGGATGTTTATCGAAACCGGATGTTTCAGTCATGAGAAAAGACAAAAGGCCCCTGATGAAACTTTCCAATCTTCTGACGTCTCCCATAAATCCTGAGATTAAAAATGACATTTTTAATTAGTTAAAGGGGTTACAGCTGCAAAGCCGAGATAAAACACAGTTTCACCTGACTACTTCAAATCAGAGCACATCTAAAAACAGGAGCACAGGAACATTTTGTGATCATAAAGAGACCAGATTTGGTGGAAAATGTGACTGCGAAGGTAACAGCTGCAGCAATCAGAGCTGAATCAAACATTTGTGCTGCAAGAATACGCCTATCATCGTGACACAAACAGACCTCGGGGTGACAAATGTGCTGATTTGGTGCAAAATACTGATGAGTTTGTTAAGACACCTGTCGAGCAGGTCAAAGGCAAACCTGCTTTTTGTGCAGGTGAATTTTTGAATAATTTTCAGGGTTTTCTGCAATGAGAAATAAAAAAACTGAATTTTGGCAAACACTTCACAAATTCTCAACACATGTGCTAAAGTGCACCACAGCTGATTTTAGGTATTCTTTGGCAAAATAGTTACTGATTTTTAACATAAATTAAATTTTAATAACACATATCTTTGTGTTTCAGCCATGATGACTGTTGTCCTTCTGCCTGTCAGCCAGCAGGTGTCCCTGTCTGAGACCGGTCTGTCCATCTGGGCTGAGTGGTGAAAGCCTGACACAGTCTGCAGCCACCAGAAGCTGGAAAAGTTTTAGATGATTCATGTATTTGGTGACTGGAGTGTTGGAAACTGTTCCAAGTAGCAGCACATGGTGTGTTCTCGTGATGTAAGTTGTTTCCAGTACCTTAACGCACCGCACCACTCCCTGGACAAACAAAAGATATCCCAGAACTGCAGTGCCTGCCTGCACACAGGCTGCAGGTCAGAGCCAAGACTTCTGAACTGCAGCAATAAGATACTAACAATGTTTTTTTCTCTTTTTCAAATGAAAAACTCTGAGGCTGTCTGTGATGTGGGTTTGATCTATTTACCATACACCATTTGACCCTAAAACATTGTTGTGGAAAGATTCTCATAATCAACTTTATTCTCACTGTTGTTTAAAAACTGTCAAATTCAGGAAAGAAAAAATAAGAATGAACAAAATCTCTTAAAGTCAGTTTCTAATGTGTTGAATAATCTTTATTTTTTGACACATCCAGACATTTTAACAAGTTTGTCAGCTGCCAGGGTCATTAAAACATAAA